TAGTCTCATTTAAAAATGATTTGCAGAAAGTTTTTATTGAAAGTTTTTTTTACATTCTCCAACTTTTACAAAAACATTTTTTTTATCACTATTAAAAATTTTCTTTTGCATCTCTCCGCTTTGTTCTTCACTACATCCCTCAATGTATGTATGTATAAAGAGAGAAAAGGTTTTCTCATGCCCTTTCATTTTCTTTTTCACATCTTTGTCGGAAACAATCTAGTTTAAAGTTTATGTGAGACTAAATTTCATTCACTCTATGTAACAGTAAATATGAATAATTCAAATAAACACCTATTTACTATCGGTATCTTTGTGTTTGGTATGTAGCCTGTTGCTAAATCCAAGTGACTTTGTTAATTTTATTAAATAAATCTGTCTGTGTTATTAGTACTTGGTTTCGCAGATTCTTTGTTCAACTGTTACATGTGTCAAGGAACTGGATGTGGAGATCCTTTTCAGTCTTCAAACGCCTATGTTACTACTAGTACTACAATGAATACAGATGATGATTGTGTTGTACGTAGATTTGATTTCGATTTTTTGCTTATATAAACATGATTTTTCTTTGTAGAAAATAGTTACAACAGTTGCAGGCGCTACTTTCGTTACTCGACAAGTATCTACTGGAGGCTGCGATTCAGGTTTGTGCGAAATTTTCAAGTACACAAACTATATCCATCATCATCGTTATAGGTTCAACATCAATAACTTATCTAGGCACCACGTATAGTGCTAACCAATATTGTTGTGATTCAAATTTCTGTAATAATGCAAAATCTATCCATTATGAGAAGACAATAAGTTTCATCACCATTATTTATGCGCTATGGTTTTATTTTCTGAGATAATATAGTTAAAATGATTTGATCAATATCACAACTTTCTTGTTAAAATCATATCCAATAGTTGGATATTGTCAAAACATGAAAAGATCAGACAAACGATATACGTCTGTTTTCACGTCTTCTTGTATCTTCTTTAAACTTTTATATAGATAGTCAACTGAACAAAAATTAGATTTATTATCTTCTCTCATTTTTCCAATGTCGAAGATAAAATAGTCTGTCTACTAATTACATATTTTTAACACTTATTTTCTATTCGTAATGTATATTGTTTTAAGAAAAGAAAAAAGATTTTTTTTCACTTCACTTTCTCATCATTGTTAAAAAGAAAAGAAACTTTCTGTTTGAAACAAGGAAATAAATATTAAAAAAATTTTAATACTTTTTCCTTAATTTAAAATGCTATCAGAAGACAAATGATATTACTTTATATTTCACAACTTTTGATTGTAGCTAAAGATAGTTGTTAGACTATATTTCTAAATATTTCTCCAATCATCATAAGAATAGATCATAATACAATCCCAGTTGATCGGTCTAAAAACAGACTCAACTGTCTAGCCACGAACTGTTCATCGGTAGTTACTGCAAACCGTTTTCCTCGAATTCAGTTTGAGGATACTTGTAGCTGTATTATGAATGTAATAGAGTGAGGAAAAATATTAATAAAAGAAGACTTCGAAAGTTTTTGTGAATAGGTGTTTACTTTTCATAGAATAAAATAAACTAAAAAACTGTTCGCTACAGAGGCCACCTTATTGCACATTGTATAGATAGAACGAGAAAAAAACTAAGATCATAGGATCGATAACAACTGCCGAACAGAGTTTCAGAGCAGGATGAAAAAGTGAGGTATCTCCTCACCCTAAATTTTAGCACTTTTTGTTCTGACAAAAATTTGTCAAACCTTTTTATGAGTACAACAAAGATCACGATTACCTTGAAGGTAATTGATTCGAAAGACGGTAAGAGACTAACAGCTACGATAATCAATGAACTGCTTGTTAAAAGAACTGATAGACAGTCTTTTATATTCTGATTGTGTGTCTATATCGACACAAATATTTTACTTCTTTAAAAAACTGTCCGCCGACTTTTTAAAAAAGACTGTCAGAAAAATCTCTCAAGGCTAACTAAAAACAATCGTAAACAATCGTTGTCGACTATAAATCAATTCTCTTTGGCCTTGAAAAGTTTATTTACTATCATGCCGAAACGATGATGATGTTCAGTTGTACCGATGATATTCTGGAAATATTGTCGCTTTTTTAATGTATATAGTCGAAAAACAGCATGCAATAACAAATATTTGGTCTAAAATTGATCATCGGATTAATAACAGCAGCAGAATTGTATGATCATGAGTTGCGACCTGTTTTGGTTGAACGGACACGTGGACAAACATGCACGGCATATGTTTTTTTACATATAGGACATTTGCAAAAAAGATCATTTTTTCGGATTTGGAATGTTTTAGACAAGGGAGAAACTGCGAATTTTAGACCTGAACAGGCTTGGGAGGACTTGTCCGACTTACGGAGATTTTACCGAACTTTAAAAGATCTGAGAGGATTTTAAAGTCCGCTCGAGTCTATAAAGTTCGCAATTTCCCCCTTGGCTTTAGAAAACTCTATAAAATCATCAAATTATAATGCAATCGAACGTAGACACTTTGGGCTATTCAACTATGTATGAATCTCAAAATTGACTTTTCTGATAGGGGGACCTTAAAATAAGTTTCGCCCAGTATGCAGCGTTTTCGATACAGATTTCAAAAGATAAGTTTTACTGATACTTAGTAAGGATGTTCGGTTCTCGGTTCTCGACTTAGAACCGAAACGAAAGAAACCGCGGTTCCGGTTTCCAACTGAGAATAGAACCGCGGTTTTCGATTCTCAGCTTAGAACCAGAAAATAATTTTTCAAGCGGTAGCATTCAACGAAATAGAATTTCGTTTATAGTAAATGAAAGGATTCTTTCAAATGATGTTAGGCAGGTATATCTTTTTGTAGCTTTGTCAATAGTATGTTTTCATCTTGTTAAAAGAAAGGTAAGTCAAAAAGTCTCGGTTCCGAAAAAAAGGAACCATTTAAGAAACCGTGGTTTCGGTTCCCGATGAAGAACCGAGAACCAAACATCCCTACTCTCTAAAAAAAATCCGTAGCTTACTAAACGAATATCAGTTTTGGCATTTGCTCCTAATAGAAACCGATATCCGTATCGTACGATCCTGCGTAACCGTTTCGTAGAAACGTTTTTTCTCTGGTACAAAACCTAAATCCGTTCCTTCACAAGGCAAAAAACGTCGAAGCATATTCTGCGAAACGGTTACGCAGGATCGTACGACACGGATATCGGTTTCTATTAGGAGCAAATGCCAAAACCGCTATTCGTTTTGTAAGCTACGGATTTTTTTTAGAGAGTAGTAGTTAGTTAATAATACCACACTCCGAAATTGGTGTAAGATGAACATCACAAAAAAGGTTATAAAATGTGAATTAAATTAAAAAGGTTCTATTCGACGGTTACCTTCGAAATACAAGTCTTCGGTTTCAGTGCCATTCGTCATCTCTTTTAGGCCTTCTGTCCAGTTTTTTCATCAGCTTCATCGTTATTGTTGTCCTATTCTTTTCTTTCACGTACCGATAATCCAAATACTTTTCACTTCAACCCTAACAGTCATAGGTACCATTGACATTTATGGGGAGTAGCTCAATCATTTTCTTTGAGGTTATTACTCCAGGTGTTGTATTTACAGATAATGTTTAGGTATGCACCAATTACGGAGCAGCTATTTCTGACTATTGGTTCCTACTGGAGCATCCAGAAAAATTGTTATAACGCGGTTATTAAGAATTGCTCAGATTTGTGGAACGTCTGATTTTGCAGACAGATGTTTGTTTAATGTATTTGTATCGAAGGTAAAATTAAAATTTGAAGGAGAGCAGCGTTTTTGATGAATTACTAAAGAGAACTAGTTTAAAACCAGTTACCACATACAGTTGTAGCATTTAAGAATTCACATATTTTTGTCACAATTAACTTTAAACCTGTTTGTTTTAACAAATAGCCCCAGTTACATAACTGGTACATGTCTAGTAATGTTTGAGTAATATTTTTGAGATCACATGTTCGTCTATAAATCTTGACATCTTGTCCATTCTATATGTTTCACCACAACCAGGGGAAATATTTGTTGCTGCTAAAGCAGGCGTTGTAACCGACTGAGTAACCGAGTTACATGAGCTTCGTGGGACTTTACGTTCTTCATTTCGTCTTTTCTCAGATCGATGTTTGAATTGCTGTACAACATTTCTCCACTGATTATTCACCTAATTTTTGTTGTGTTTGTCTATTGATCTTTATTTAAGTTATACCATATTCCTTCTCCGATTTTTGATTCTACACTTCTTCAAATTATCGAAGATTCCATTCTACCATCGTGTCTTCACTCCATATCGGGATCGTTGTGTATTCGCAAACATTTTTACAAAAAATTTTTACTAAGTAACAAAAATTTTTTTGTGAATAACTGTGTATTTACCGATTAATAAGCATATTTGGTCAAAACATTTAATTACACTGCAGAACGATTACTTTAAAGCTGAATTACTCAGAACCGACTCGAGCAGAAAGATACAGTTATTCAACTGAATAAAGATACATAGAGATTCACTTTAGATGAGTAAATATACTGATAGTGCTGCCAAAATTTTAGTGAGTAACTAAACTTTTGTCTCAGTAATTTCTTTTCGAATAACAAGGAATTTTTTTTCTTTCTCCTAATCGAAATCGTTGTCACTATGGCTTGCAGTTGCATGCATGTATGCATGACATACAAAACTGCCGACGCTTATCAAAATGGATGACCCAGAAACGAACTGACCTGGTTCATAAAATGTTTGATGACCACGATAGTCTGAACATTTTTTGAAAATATCTTTTGATTTATATCATATCATATTTCTAGCAAAAAATGGTTAGAAATCAAAAAAGCAAAAATAACAACGATAAACAAACTACCTGCGTGAAAGAAAAAATATCAGAATGAAAATAAATAAACTATTTTACAAACAGACAATAAAAAAGAAGAGTATAATAATTATACGAAGGAAAAATCGATGAACCTATACAAAACGTGTAAAGTTTCATTTATGAATTTGCTCTATCATTAATTAGATTACGTAAATCTTTTGCCACTTGATCAAGTAGTTTTTTATCATCTTTTTCTGGTTGTTGACGACGACTAAAAAATGGTCTTACACGTTTTAAACCTTCTCGTATTCTAAAATAAAAAGATATATACAAGAATAAATCGAGAAAGAAAACCAAGAATAAAAGTATAGACATACTTTTCTACGACGATTAATGCTGCTTGAGGAGTAACATGTGCAAATTGAGCATCTTCTTTTCCAAAATCGAGAAAATATGCGTTCCACTCTTTATTCATAATTAGATCAAGTAACTAAATAAAAATTTTGTGAACAGTAATACTCTTTTATCATAAAGTATTCCATTTACCTGTCGTAAATCTTGAAAACGCAGTAATTTTACTATCTAAATTCGGAATTTGAATGCAGGAAGCAAAAACTGAAAAACACAAAAGTAAAAAAAAAATAATTAAGAGATAAAATGAATTACTCTTCTTCTGTTTGTTATCTTCACATTGGGTAAGATCAAGAGAAAATTGTTGTAAAGTACCAGGCGATATTGCTTTGACATCTTGACTAAGTAAAATATTCATTAGTGATGTTGATATATGTTTGCATGTGGACAAACATGTTGTTTGAGATAATTGAGCCTAAAACAAAGAATTTACTCAATTTTATTTATCTTGTGACATAAAAAGTAAACGAGTGGTGTTAGTCTTGAATCTATATTCTCTTCAAGTCATAGAGAATAAGAGAGTAATTAAGCATCAAAGAGATGCGCAATAATGTTTTAGCCTCAATCTGTCTATTAAGCAATATACATCTTAATCAATATGTAAATCACACCATCACCAGCTTAATAGTATTATCAGCACAGTATGTTTTTTTTGAAAAATTAACATGATCTATTTATATCTTATGAAATCTTTTTCTTCTCTTTCTAGCTATTTACTTGTCGCTATAAAAATAATGTTGAAAAGAAAAGAAAACATGCCAAATAGAAATATGCCTAGAAAGATAACTATACATACGGGTAAGTGTGTGAATGCTCGGAATGTATGTTAAAGAAATTGTATTGTAGTTTGAACGTAATCACTTGCAACCCCCGCAGCTTCTGGTATCATCCAGTCGTATGAAACTAGAAAGAAGGAAAGAAAAAAAGTAATTATAATAAATATCAATATAAGAAAACAATAATGAGTGTTACCTATATCAAGACATTGATCAATTTTATCGTTTAATTTATCATATATACGATCTTCTACAAGACTTCTTATACCCTATTAAAAGTAAAACAAAAGAAATCATAATGTATCATTGAATTTAAAGAGTTTACTTTGAGCATTGATGGACCTTGTAATCGCAATCCAATTTGTTTGACATTTCCACTACAAAAAGCAAATTATATTCTCTAAAATTTAGACATCAAACATAAAACACTTACTGTACTAAAGCAACAATATAATCATCAAGAAATGGCATCGAATTTTCCAAATGTAATGTATTTATGCATATTTGAACGAGCTAAAATATAAACTAAAACGGTATTACAACTAAACATTGAAATGAAGTTTTTCCGACATGTAAAAAAGTTTAACTGAGATTCAGAATTTGATTCTGTTAATTCGATCAGACAAGTTTTCAATGTTTTTGATAAGAGTAAATTTGTTGGTTTTCGAATCATATCGTCTACTTCTGTTTTACTACATAAATAAAATAAAAGAACATTATCATCTTAAAATAGAATTATAGTTAAATAAGAATTACCTAATATTTAAACCTTCGGCAAATTTTGAACAGACAAATGTAAACTCTTTAATTTCTGAAAATAAATTTGGTACGGATTCACTGTATGGTAAAGATCTTGGAAATGGCATCTATAATTAATATGTTTTAAAAGGTAATTAACTCAATAAATAATATATTTATTTTGTTTAACCTTCTCAGTTTCTTCAATTCTCATTGGAAATTGCCGTAATAATCTCTGATATTTTTCTTCATCTTCAATTAACAATGGGGTATAATTATCTTTTGTTAGCGTATCTTGACATCATTGTCCCCAGTGTGTTAATAATAATTGATGATAACTGTCTCTAAAAGAGAGATAATAAACATAAAACAATAGCTATATCCTTGAAAAATTTTTCATACCGCAATTCCATAATAACATCTAATAATGGTGTCACAGGAAAACCGGATTCCTAAATAAAAGTACCGTTAAATATACGGATGATTTAGTTGATGAAATTTAAATTTATCATAGAACGAAATTATTGAATTTTTTCTATAATATCATCATTTCGAATTCCAACTATTTCTAAACAATCTAAACTTGTAGACAAATAAACCATAAAACGAATACTCACTAGTGGCCTGTAGTTGGATGGACTTGAAGTATCACCGTCCTTAACCAACGCGTTTACATATCCTGTCTTGAAAGATTCTGGATAAGTTCCCGTGTTAAGGGACTGGTTGATCATCTGAGTTAGATAAGTAGATGTTATAAGCGCTGATTCTTTTAGCAGTTTAGCAGTTACACCAGGACTACTAGCCTTGTTTACATCAAGACACTTCAAAATCTTTTCTACTTCACCAGAAGACACAGTAATCGCAGAAAGCGACTTAGAATGCAATACCAGTTTGGGCATGGATTTCTGATCATCTGAAGGCAACAACGTACACACACAAATAGACGCAAAGTATGAATTTAAAGCATCTGCCTTTTTAATCTTCATTTAATCAATTTCCGATTAAGTTTTTTATAGGTGGAACAGAAGAACGTTTTTTTTCTGCCTAACGAGAAGTTAATAGCACTCCACCATTGTTTTTTTGAACTTTGAGTATTGTTGCTACGCTCAATATAATGTTATTATTTTATGACGTATCGCAGTATCAGCAACTTTTAGAATCGATTTTTCAAGTTCTTTACCTGATCGTTAAGGTTATACTTACGAGGGAACCCCACGAAGTGATTAAACGCTTTTTGCTCGGAATCTAGTGGGTTATAGGTTATCGACCATGCTGATTACGAATACGACCATGCGGCTTCCGCATAGCCCTTCGAAGACCTGG